CCCTGTCCCTCCATCCCTCCCTCCCGTCGGGGCAGATGAGTACCAAGCACCCCTGAACTGTTGAAATACAGACCCGAGCTTGAACCCCGCTGAGGCAGATGAGTAAAACACGATCAAAGCAGTCTAGAGTCTGAACACTGAGCACCTTAGGGTAGTGCCTTTGCTTCAGTACTCACGAGCGCACACCGTATGTACTTTTTTTTTTTTTTTTTTTAATGAGAACATCGGCTGTGGGTGTAGAAGGGGTGCTGGTAAGAGCAGACACCCCTTCTACAGGCCCCCTTGTTGGATGGCTCCGTTCCATTGGTGGGGAGCTGCACCTGCTGGAAATCAGGTCCAGTGTCCCTTTACAGCATTATAAAAGAGCCAAAATTACTGTTTTTACAGGATTTACCCTTCTCCACATTCACATCAGATGAACCCCTGAATGAAGAGGGATCCCAGTCGATCGATCCAAGCGCTGTTCCCCAGACAGAGCCGGCAGTAGGAGGTCTCAGAGCTCATAGATGAGTCAAGGATGCAGCTTTTGCAGTGGTTGTACTCTCACGTGCCGTCTGTCTGAAGTCCCGTGTGAGTTGGCACCTTGTCCTCATACCGGTTATTCACCTCAGTGGCCTCAAGACGTCCAGTTGTCCCCATCATCTGCAGCGGCAGTAGAAATGGCAGGAGGGTAGAGGATCAGGGGGTGGAAGTGGGTCGGAAGAAGATGGTGGCGAGGGTGAGGCGGGAGGGAGTTACTGCAGGGGGGGGGGGCAGGGTCCATTGCGTGATGGGGATTCTGAGGGATCAAGAGAAAGTTGGTCAGGAGGTACGGGACTGCAAAGACATCCAGGGGTCTCCTTTGCCATGAGGATCCGTCCGCCCTCCAGTTTTCCCATCTTACTTGTATTTGAACATGCAAGGGGGTGAAACTGCAAGAGGGATGGGGCCGTCAAAGGGACGAAACTGCATGAGGGATGAGGTACCACAAAAGAAGACTAAACATACTGCAAAGCCATCCAGGGGTCTCCTTTGCCATGAGGATTCGTCTGCCCAGCAGTTTTCCCATCTTACTTGTATTTGAACATGCAAGGGGGTGAAACTGCAAGAGGAATGGGGCCGTCAAAGGGACGAAACTGCGTGAGGGATGAGGTACCACAAAAGAAGACTGAACATATGGCGACGTATCTTTCCATGTTCTAGAAAAAGATTCATTCCCATTTTCACCCGTACTGCGAAACACCCCAAGAACACAACTAAAGAGCCCACGGACCAATAGCACGCGGGGCCAGAAGATGCCAAAAAATTGGAAAAAAACGAGATGACTCTGCCAGCTGTGCAGCAAGGTGTGTCTTTCCGTGTTCTAGCAGAAAATTTGTTCTCATCGCTCCACTACTCACAGGTGCCACAAAAGACAAAAAATATGGCTGTGAATCTTCTATCGCTCTAGCAAAAGATCCATTCCCATTTTCACCCATGCTCCAAAAATGCCCTGGGACCAACTGCATGTGGGGCCAGAAGACGCCAAAAATAATGAAAAAAAAAACAAACAACTCTGCCAGCTGTGCAGCGTCGCCCTCACTGGATGTGCAATATGAAACTGAATCCTCGGCCGGAACACGGGAAGATGCACCGCCATAGGGCCTAGCTCCACTACTCGCCAAAGAATGAATCTTCTGCTAAAACATGGGAAGATACACCGGCATATTTTTTGTCTTTTGTGCACGTGGTGAGTAATGGAGCGAGGCCCATATTCCAGTCTTGAGGTACAACCGGCCGACTCCATGTCTCTGGACTGGTCTCGACCTGCGAAATCGAACATGTAGCCTGTGATTCACGTCTGCCTGTTCCCGAGGGCCACGCATCCCACAGGTACCACCTCCCTTCCCGACTTTTTGTGGGCCCGGGGGGGGGGGGGGGGGGGGGTTCCGCTGGGCACCGGGTTATCCTTTAGGAAGCATAGAGATAGAGATACTACTGAATAATACTGATATACACCCAAACATTCCCCTTCCTGCTCAGATAAGATACCTCCGTGCCCTCTGGATCTGCATGATACAGGAAGGTCAGGTCCATTTGTCGGCACCTGCCTCGTATGCCCATGCAGATGCAGACTCCCTGGGTGTACCTCAGCAAAATGACAAAAGTGTCGGTGTATCGAATGTAATCTTCCCTCATCATCCTCATGTGAATATTCGAACTTGAATGCAGATCTGGTTTGTTTCACACAAACCCCACAAAATAACCACCTAGTTAAAAGCTGTTAAATTCAATTGAGAGGGAAGAAACAAACAAAAAAAAAAAAGCAGGGGTAGATATCCCATGAACAAACAAAAAAAAAAAAGGTATCCCCCAAACAACTCTTAGTTTCATCCTCAATTTGATATAAGCATTGCAAATTTGCAACATGTGGTAAAAAAACAGAAGAAAAACTCTGGAAACAGTGGAAATCAGATATGACTGCCACACCACCAACTGGCCTATCCCCCAGTTGCTACACCCATGAACTGTTGAAAAACTTGAAATACAGACGTGAGTTCGAATTCCAACGGAACCAGATGAGCAAAAGTAACTCTGAATTTACCTGGGGCCGGTCAGTTGGAGGATCATATCTCAAGGCCGCCCCGCCCCCCTTCAATGTGAAAAAGAAAAAAAAAATGCAGATGCGACTCCCACTCACCTGAAATTGTGGGTAATCTGGAGCACTGAACAGCGTCATCAGCTTTCCGGATTTCACAGTGTGGTCTACAGTGTATCCATGACTCATCGGCAGCATGTCGGGGCGTTGCTCTCGCGCATCGGGGCCCTCGTGAGATCGCACAATCAGCCGCAGGTGGTTCTTTTCCAAAAACTCTTCCGTGATGTCCGGGCCAAAGAGTAATCCAATACCTCTGCCGTCGTTCGGCTTCAGACCAGGCTCTGACGAGGGGTCGGACCACAGTATATCACCAAGGATAGCAGACATGCCGGTCCCAGATGGGTCTTGAACCGTGCGCCTGACTTTCATCAAGTCCTCGAGCGACCCAACACGCAACGATCTATCCCCCTCCGGTACTCCGTTTTTCCGACCCCCGTCTTTCTTTTTGCCGCCGTTTTTTGCGCCTTTTCTTCGTGATGGGTGGAGCTCCCTCCATAGCCCACCGTGACAGACCAGAACTGACGAAGCCACCACTGCTGCCAATGGGTGCGATGTGAACGTAGAAAGGAATTTCTGGAAAAGATGCCGTGAATGAGCGCCGTATTTCGTCTCCACTTCTCTTTTGAACCCATAGGATGTCGAACAAAACCTCGTCTCATGATTTCCCCGAAGCAAAAAGACCCGGTTCGGTAACAGAATCTGCAAGCAGTCCACGGACCAGGACCAATGCCGTGACACAACAATTTCAGTTCAACTTTCAAGAGGGTGACACAACAATCTGGAAAAGAGATGCAACTAAACAGAGGAAGGTACCTGGAGTGCAAGGGAGGAAGTGTGGCAAATGGAGCCGTACGAAGGTCGCCATAGCGTGGAAGAAATTACGGAGGAGGAATGCAGAATCACTGCGACATTTGGAGCATAAGCGGCTGGCCAAGGGCAACACGGTGGCAACCTTCAATGGCCTCTGACTCATCTGGGATGCACAACACAATTCACAGCAGAGTCTAGCAGGCTCTTGAAAACCCAACAATGGGGAAGAAGATGCCCTCATGTAGACATCACAGGAAACTGTACGGAATGAACACTAGGGAGACCATACACTCAACAAAGGTCCAACAGCCTCCCTACGTGAACATAACATGACTGTACGAAACAAGCACTGCGGAGACCACACACTCAACAAAGGTTCGACAGCCTCCCCATGTGAACATAACATGAAAGCGCACGGAATGTGCATCCTTCCAATCCCGGGGATAATACGCTCAACAAAGATCCAACTGCTGCATCAAATACCACACGATGAAGGTGGCACAGAGGACTTGCATTCTCCAGGAGTCGCATCCAAAAAAAAAAAAAAAAAAAGTTTTAAGATTGTCGAACAGCTCAGCTCGTACCACAATTGGAATGCACCCAAATAACAAACAGGTAAGAGCATGGGGGATTAGCCAACTGAGCCGTTTCGGATCCGCCCTTTCCACGCCTAGACATGGCCAAGTTTTCCAAGGGACTCTGAAAGCAAGCTCTGCTACACAGGAAAAACAATGGGCCATTCCATTTTTGGGACGAATTTTTAAACACATACCATGCTCGTTTCGAGGAAATCTGTCATGCAAACCGTGGCTTCAAACCTGAGATACAGAAGAGTCAATCCAACGGTCAGAGATCCACGCATCATTGCCGCACCTGTCTTGAAGTCAGCCACCAGTTGTCAGTGTTTAGATTCTCCTACCTTCTTCACCCAAATACAACACACAGTCATTATAGCTGCATTTGGTGTATCTTTCAGTCTAAATACAGGAATAATGACCGTACGTTGTGTTTGGTGAAGAAGGTAGGCTATCATTGGCTGGTGTATGTTTTTTTGACTCGTTTGGTATCAGCTTCCAAGCTTCTGGGTTTTATTCATCCGAGGTTTTGCCCTGTGCGTTCAGTGTAAGGTTCAGTGCGTGAAGAAATGCCGAAACAAACCGTTTCCTTCAACCACTCAAGGAACAACAGACACATGGCTTGGTGGATCATTCGGTGGCTGTCAGTTCTCCTTCTCACCTTCCATGCAAGCAGTGTGACATACGTCTCAAGGCCCCATGCTCCACGATCCACGTAGTCTCCGTTGAAAACAATGACAGAGTCCTCGCTTGGTTCCCCCGCCTTCTCAAGAAGTTGGAGGAAGTCGTGGTACTGGCCGTGAAGATCCCCTACCAGGGTCACCTGCTTAGCACCAGCACACACATGTATACGCGGGTCACCGACAGGACCCCCTGTGCATCCAGCTGGAATCGGAACACATCGACACCAGGGCTCAGGTGTCGCCTGCACATGACACCAAACGTCACGAGAAACCGACAAGCACGCATTCCGCACACAGGAGGCACCACCACACAGATTGACAACTCGATCGGCTTCGGCAAACAGAACATGATGATGTACCATACACTGGTGCAGGTGGGATCGTGAGCGCAGAGAGACGATTATGAACTTGGAATCTTATACACAGAAATATAAAGAGTCTGCGAGAGAGAGAGAGAGAGAGAGAGAGAGAGAGAGAGAGAGAGAGAGAGAGAGAGAGAGAGAGAGAGAGAGAGAGAGAGAGAGAGAGAGAGNAGAGAGAGAGAGAGAGAGAGAGAGAGAGAGAGAGAGAGAGAGAGAGAGAGAGAGAGCACTCGAAGCCAAATAGGAGTCATGGACTCAGAGAAGACAGTACCCCGACAACGTAGAGATGGCCCCGTGCAAGACAGCCTCTCAAAATGTAGCCTGCTGTCACACCCAAGAAGCCTGCCAGGCAGGCTCTGTAAGTGAAGCAGAAAACCATTCCGAGGTGCATTCCCACCAGAGACCAAAAACTTAGAGAATTATCCACGGCAGGACAACTGGCCCAGCCTCGATCCTTCTCAAAGCAGCATGCAGTTGAGCTGCCAGGGGACACCTATAGTTGTGGGGAGAGCACAGATAAACAACTTCTGAAACAAGAAGCATTTCTCTGCAGTTTTCCAGGGCTATACCCCCAGCCAGTCATGCCTATGGTAACGGGCCGAGTCTGCCCGGTGGGTGTCGTTGCATCCAAGGGCATTAGTGCCTCCTAAAAGGGGAAAGGTTATACTGGCCTTCTGCTGCTTTGAATGACCTTGCCACCAAGCTGATCCAGCGTACAGATATTCTTTGTGTAGCAGCTGCCTCAATGAGGGAGCATTAGGGTTGGAGAGATGCAATAAGCCTACTTGTGTTGTCCTTCTTGCTGGTTATGAGGAGAGAGCCACCATCGCCTGCACTTGTTCAGGACAATTAGTGGAAGACATGGAGGAGAGGTATCAGGAAATGGCACCATCTAAAGCAAACTCCATTCCGTGGCGGTAGAAGCTTCCAATTGCCATGATCACTCAGTGGCATGGGTCCCAGCTGGGTTCAAAAATTAGTTCAAAGAACAGAAATATTTTGAAATTTCAAATTTGTAATTTTCAATATTAGTCGCATCTATGGCGTCATTATACAGAATACACATCCACTTCCTGAAATTCGGGCCCACTCCCATCTTTTCCCTGCTTGCATTGAGAAAGGCCCAGTTGACCTGGTCATAGGCCTTTTCAAAATTGAAGAAGAGGATTGCTGTGTTTATCCTTTTTTCTAAGACTTTGTTAGCCGGTTCGCTGAGAGTCAGTACGTTATCCAGGATGTACCTCCCAGGGATGAAGCCTGTTTGATCTATATGAAAGCATGTGTCTGTCAGGTCTAGGATCCGAAAGGCAAGAGCTTTGGCAAGGATCTTATAGGGAAGTGTTAGAAGCGAGATGGGTCTGTAATTCCTGATATTTTCTCTCTCTCCTTTTTTGTACAACAAAGTGACCACGCTGCTACTCAGTAGGTTTCCCAGTCCCCCCTTGAGCCAGCTGTCGTTGTAGAAGTTCAGCAGATCTCCTCCTAAGAGCAGCCAGAATTTTTCCCAGAATTCTTTTGTCAGCCCGTTGATTCCTGGAGACTTATTGTTGTTCATATTTTGGACAGCAAATTGCAACTCTTCCATGGTGATGGGCTGGTCCGGACCTTCTGCTTGTTCTTGAGATATCGTTTGTTCCAGGTATTGCAGCATCCTAGTCTGTGCCTCTCTGGTGCTGGGCGGAGTAGGCATAGGGGTCTTTGTGTGGTAGAGCTCTTCGTAGAATTCCTTTGCGACGTTCAACATTCCTTCGCTATCTCTCGCTGTTTCATTTGGGCTGGAGAGGGTTTTCAGGCCTTCAATCGCATTGGCCCTTGAGTTTGCTTTGATTCTTGCGAAGAAGTGTTTTGACATTGACTCGCTTAACTCATATTCGTTCATTCTGGCTCTTATTTGTAGTCCCTTCAGTTCTCGGTCAGTGCGCCAAGGGGACCCGCTGGCTACCCCAATCTTCCTCTTCGTTATGGAAGCAATAGCCTCATTCCTACGCAAAGACCCCTCCATACATAGACAACCAGAGGTCAATGTAGGATCAACCCACCACTTACAGTTCCCGACAGTAATCATGTTGACAGACGATCTCACGGTCCTCATAAGAGCTTCAGACTCGTCGTTCAGCGCGTTAGTAAGAGCAATGGAAGCGTTCAGACTGGCATCAGGAATGAAGATTAATTGGAAGAAAACAATCGGCTGGTGGCTATCGGAGGAGGAGGTTCCCCAACGTCTAGGCCCTGAGGCAGACATGACATGGGAGACACCAGAGACACCTACGCGATATCTAGGCATCTTGCTGGTGAAGGATGGCCTCGCCCCTCAAATGGCCCAAAATATACTCACCAAACAAATTAACAAACTAGGCAGATGGGGTAATACATTCACATCATTGCTGGGGCGTGCACTAGCCATTAATAATTTCTCTATTTTTTCTATGATGTGGTACATAGCGTCAATCTGGACCGTTCCTGACCATACAATCAAGGAAGTTAACCGTAAAGCAAGAGCATACTTGTGCTCGGGTGACCCAAACAAAGAGAACTGCATACCAAAGATAGCTTGGCATTACATCACAAGGAAACCAACCGAAGGAGGTCTTGGTATCATAGACCCCAAACAGGAAACCAAAGCCTTACAAGTCAAATGGATAGTCAAACTACTGACTAAACCTGGCACAGCATTGAATAAACTGGCCTTGGATAGCATTACGGCCCTAGCACCTACAGCCACACCAGCAAATATGTCCGGACTGTTCTGGGTAATGGAGTCCAAGAACAGGGCGCAGAAATCAACAAAGAGGAACCGAGCCAAATGAAGTCAGACCCCCTACACCATATTGGACTGCATTGTTATGGATATGGCAGGAAGTCATGCCAAGGAAAGTGGGTAGACCCAAATCCAAAGAAGAGGTACTGAGGCAACCCTTGTTTGGTAATCCGTGGGTGAGAGATGAAAGTGATCACCAACTATCCCTTAAGCCTAGAGGAAGGAGATGGTTGTCATGGATCAAACATGGAGTTTGGAAAGTGAGCCATTTGTGGAACGAGGAGAAAAAGGACTGGATGACAGACTAGGAACTTGCCTCCCGGCTAGGATGTCACCGACGAGACGAGAACTTACAATCTATTGTCAACTGCATCCCAGAAGGCTGGAAGGAGTTGTTAAGCGAAGTCTCAACTTGAAAATTGGGTGAATGGGGGGTGAGGGTGCAGGATTTAACCCCCACAAGGGCCTATCAATTCTCCCATAAACAGCAAGGGTCGGATACTTTGGCAGTGTTTACCTCCTTCCCGATTACCCCCTCCACGTAAGGCCTCTCATCTATCATGAATAAGGAGGTGGAAAGAACAGTCCTAAAACCCTTTGGTACTCAGAAAAGTCAAAGTGTTGGGTTCATGGCCAAAAACAATCTTCAGAATAGATACGGCGATTCAAGACTTGGAATTTGATCCAGCAGAGTGGGCTTGGACACCAGACCGAAGCAGAAGCCTCAAAACTGAAGTCTCCATTCAGGAATACACATTCAAGTTGGGATACAACTTACTCCTCAAAACGAAGGATCATGAACCAACGATCAAGAACAGATGGCAGAAGCTAATAGGTCACGGCGCTAGTCGGATCCCACAAATACCATGGAAAAAAATCCAAGTCAATTTGCCCTGTTAAAATCATAAGCCTACAATGGCCCATCTCATATATAGCTCTACTGGTCAACAACTCGCTGCATATCAGAAGAAGCAAGAATGACCCTAACAGATCTTTAGAAGGCATTGCAAACTTCAGCCAACTTGAAGATGAAAAGAGTCGTAAGCCCGAGATGTTACGAGTAAGCGTCAGCGCCGATCGGTAAGCGCCCAACAGCGTTAACGCCCACGGCTTCCTCGCGCGCGAAGCACGATACCGAATTCAAAGTCGGATGAAACACCATCGCCGCAACTCTTCAGGCCAGCCTCAAGCACGCCATAGCGGACACGCCCAGCGAGGGATTTCGGCATGCGTGCACCTAGTGCGCGCGTAATTCAACAAGATAACGCGCATAGTGGGGATCCAGGAGTGGGGACAAGTCCATTCGAGCTTCTTAGTCCTGCGAAGGTTTTCCTCGAGCCAGCTCACCTCCCAAGCAATGTGAAGTGAGATCCAGCCTACCTATCCTGGACTAACATCCTCCATCCCCCCCGAACCCCCCGCTTTACGAGCTGTGTCTCCCCCCGTCTCCCCCTGTCTGGATGCTCTTCCCCTCAACACACCTCACAACTCCAACTCCCTCCCCTCTGCCCTCTCTCGGCATCAATCTCCCCCCCCATTTTGTATCTTGTGGTGTGTGTTGAAGCTCGCTCCCCTCCCCCCGTGCACAGGCATCCGGGACCAGCGTTCTCCCCTCTATTCTCGCAACAGGCCCCGGTCTTCCCCCCTTTGACCGCGCATTGGTATTTCCTTTCCAGCACCAGCCTTTAGTAGCCTCCTGGCAGCGATTTTCCCCCTCAATAACCTCCCATTCCCTTCCACTCTGCGATCTTCGTGACGCTTCGGCCTCTTCCACACTTTCATCCATCCACTTAATCATCAACCTAGCCCCTCTCTCACCCACTCACCTTCCCTTTTACGGGTCTGACCGCCCATCCTCACATCCTCCACTCCTCAAGCCTTGACTTGTCCGACGATTGCTTCGCCACAACATCAAGCCTTTTTGACCTATTGCTTCTCCCCCCAACCCTACCCCCACCTTGACGTCGTCGGCCTACAACCCCCACTCCCCTCACGCAAGCTCTTTCCACCCCGATCCCATTCATCCAGCCTCCCTTTCTTCCACTCTCCCTCCCATCGGTTCACTCATCGGCGCAACCTACCATTCATCCATCCATCCTTCAACCCACCCTCCTCTCGTTCT